GTTTGGTAGAAGGGACCTGGAGTCCACCCACCCTATCCAGCCTGGCACTATATTTTATGTACAGTTGCTGTTAGCCAACCAATATGATCAGTTTCTTTGTTTTATTGCTTGTAAAACCTGCTGTAACCAATCCTATTGATTATTTAGTGATTATTTATTTTGTCTTCTTATTGTTTTAAATTTAAATTTTTATCTTTTTTAAGGGGAATTCTGATCATTAATCGTAATAAACAACTGACTGACTGACTATTTCTAGAAATACTCTGTGCCCCTGAGAATGCTTAGATCTTGTTAGCCTTTTTGGGTTATTTTTCTCTACCTGAATTCCCCCCATCCCACCCCACCCATTGTAGTGAGGGAGAGCCATACTGTATCCCAATCCCAGCTATTTCAAATACTTGACCTCTCCATTGCTGCCAATGAGTAGTGTTCTCTGCTTCTGGGATTTTAAATAGCTTTCTACTATAAAGTAGGGGAATATATATAGGACCATCAGTCCTACCTGCCCCAAATTTCTGCTCTGGAAAGCACTCATATTGCATACACTTATTATTCACCCAATTACTTTGTTCCATTCCATCCACCAATCTAGTTGTCATCCCTCCTCCCACCCAACTCACTGAGCATACTGTGCAGCTGAGTTATTACGTAGTTGCTTGGGGGAGGGGGAGGGATTCAGATCCATTTGGGGGGGGGGGATTTATATGTCTTGAGTTTTGCATATCTGCAAATCTTGGTTTATCATGAGTGCACTGATACTTTTCACTTATTAGTGCCTGATATAGTTTGGATTGGAACTGCTATTTAAAGTGGATGATTTTTCTTCTTCATTCTTTATTACAATTTAACTTATGAGAATTGAAATACTATAGCCTTAAAAAATAAACAAGTGGACCTTTAATGTGCAGCACTACTGATTAAAATTGCTCCCTACTGATTAATCAACTATCAAGGTTGATTAATCTATCAAATTAAGACAATTACAGATTGCAGTCTTAATTTTATATGCACAGCCTTTTCCAGCTACAGTTTCATCAGAGTAAAGTTATGTTCCCGGATGTCATTGATTCAGATTTATTTATGCATGCAGGGAATCCTATTTGCCTGAGCAATCTATCTTTGATCACTACCATTGTTTCTATTATCATTGTTTCCACTATCATTTTTACAAGGAAAAAAAAAATCCCCATTTGTAGAACATCACATTTTAGAGTTATGGTGTCACAGCAAAGTATCTCTCTTTTATTTTTAACAAATTTCTAGTAAGTGTTTTAGTGATAAATACAAAAATAATATCATTTCATGATATTTATGGAAAAGATTATAATAAATGTATGCCAAGTCATTTCACCTTTTTGATACATCAATGTCCAAGCAAAACCCTGTATTGGAGAGTCCATGGGGTTCTCTGAACTTGGTTGTTTTCTTGCAGACGTTTCGTTACCCGACTAGGTAACATCATCAGTGCTAGAAGGGAGTGGGGTTTGCTCCCTGTGTATATATGGTAGCTTGCCCTGTCAGTGTTGGTGGGGTTGTTGTTTTCTCCTTGGTAGTTCCTTGATTAGGGTATTGTTTACTACTTGACTGTTTGTCTGGTATTAATCTTGGTGTTAATCCCTGCTTATCTGGGTGTTGATTGCTGGCAAGGAGGTGTTCTGGTCTTTTTGTTTCCTTTTTATTGTCTCTTTTGAATGGTGTTTAAGTGTTGTTTATCTCTTTGTGCCTATTGATGGCTGACTTGTCTGAATACAAGCTTCCAGGAATTCCCTAGTATTTTTGGATTTAGCTTGATCTACGATGCTCATATTTTCCCAGTTTAGACTATGATTGAGTTTGTCCATGTGTTGTGAAATTAAGGAATTTTCACTGTGTCTTCTGATTGCTAGTTGGTGTTCATGGATGTGGTCTGCTAGTCTTCTGCCTGTCTGTCCTACATAGTGGCTGTTACAGTCCTTACACTGTAGGTTGTAGATGATTCCTGTTTTTTCTTCTTGGGCTACTGGGTCTTTTGGTTTAGTTAAGATGTTTTGGAGGGCT